GAGAATCGTGGGATCCTGGACGCTCTTGGTAAAGCTCCCCGTTGGATCATAAGATCAGTTTTGAAATTCCATACATACATTCCCCCCCCCAGGAGATCCTACAATATAGCTCCCTTTCTGTTCTTCAGACATAGAATATTCTGCCAGCTTTAACTTTTCATGATAGTTACAATTCTGTCACATGACTCTGGCAATCTTTCTTTTCTTCATGTTTTGACCAAAAAGTTTCTTATTAAATTGCGATGAAATCTTCTAAATTTATAAACTTTCTCTAAATTGTGAAGAATTTCTCTGGCAGTAAGACATCTGCCTCAATACATTGTATCATTTCAAATCTGTATAACACTGTTCTCATTCTCCTATTCCACTGTGTAAAACTTCCTATGTGCATCCTAAAAATTTCTTTCTACTTTTCAATCTGCCTTTAAAAATTGTTTCTGAGAGGATAATTAAGAGTACACTGGCAAAGAGGTCAAAATGTTAATGTCAGTTTCTGAGGTAAAACGTGTCACTTTACAACTCTGCACCTGTCTTTCTGGATTATTCATGGTTTTCTGGATTTTGTGGGCCCCAAACCCATTTTCTGTGGTATTTATATGTGTGGAGGTTGCCCTGGGTTGTTTGACCCTTGAAAAACATAGCTTTTATTTATTCTAGAAAAGACACCACAAGATTCTCTGTTTAGAGTTTATACAGAACACATTACATTACTTGATATACTAAAACACGTTTGCATGTGCTTATATCTATCTATATCTATTATGTATTGATTTTGATTATTTCTACATTTATTCCATTTTTTATCTAAGACAATAAGCTCAGAAATCCAAAATAATCAATCAAATAATGCTGCTACATTAGGTATGAAGAAGGAATTACAAGTGCTTCTATCTATATGAGACTTTCAGACTTTTTCTGAGGCACATAGCAGCATAAAACAGGCAGCAGGTGCTCTCACAGAAAACCTCTCTCTCACTCGACAGTTGAGACCAGACCTAACTGAAAAAACGGCCTCTGGAGTGACAGTCACCTTTCCATAGCAACTTGGAGGCAACATTCACACACAGAGTTCTTAGGGAAGTTGAGGTAATTTCTGTCAGGTTTGGGTTTCTGTTTTAGCCTCTGCCCGTTTTTTAAAGAGAAGACCAATGTTAGAGTTGGAGTGGATTTCATGATTGTGGCAACAAAAATCCGTCCTAGAAAAGAGCCAGACTTTCTGAACCTCTGGTTCTCAAAAATACGTCTGTGAATGCTGGTCGACAAAGGCCTCTGTAGAAAGACCTCACATCTTCTGTTCTTCCTTCTTGACAAATGTTCATTAGCATTGTTCAATAATTGGGGGCTCCATTTCTTCCTGAGGATCTAATTAGTTTCTGTCTTTGTTGTAGGTGGTGATGAATTGGAAATGAAGATGGGGGAGACCATGACAAAATCCACACAGTGGAGAAGCCAAATCAAAATTGGGAGTATGGAGAGAGCTCCAGTCAGAGTTCCCGTCCTCCACCAAAGAACTCAAAGCGGGAAGGAAGGCTATCAGTGCTCAGAATGTGGGAAGAGCTTCAGTCGGAGGGCAGTCTCACTTCACATCAAAGAATTCATACAGGGGAGAAACCCTATCAGTGCTTGGAATGTGGAGAGAGCTTCAGTCAGATTACAGTCTCACTTCCCATCGAAGAATTCATACAGAGGAGAAACCCTATCAGTGCTTGGAATGTGGAAAGAGGTTTCGTCAGAGTGGGAATCTCACTTCCCACAAAAGAATACATACAGGAGAGAAACCTTACCAGTGCTTGGAATGTGGAAAGAGCTTCAGTCGGAAGGACAGTCTCACTTCCCATCAAAGAATTCATACAGGGGAGAAACCCTATCAGTGCTTTGAATGTGGAGAGAGCTTCAGTCAGAGTTACAGTCTCACTTCCCATCGAAGAATTCATACAGAGGAGAAACCCTATCAGTGCTTGGAATGTGGAAGAGGTTTCGTCAGAGTGGGAATCTCACTTCCCACAAAATAATACATACAGGAGAGAAACCTTACAGTGCTTGGAATGTGGAAAGAGCTTCAGTCGGAAGGACAGTCTCACTTCCCACCAAATAATTCATACGGGAGAGAAATCCTATCAGTGCTTGAATGTGGAAAGAGCTTCAGCGGAAGGACAGTCTCACTTCCCACCAAAGAATTCATACAGGAGAGAAACCCTATCAGTGCTTTGAATGTGGAAGGAGCTTCAGTCGGAAGGACAAACTCGCTTCCCACCAAAGAATTCATACAGGAGAGAAACCCTATCAGTGCTTTGAATGTGGAGAGAGCTTCAGTCACAGTTACAGTCTCATTCCCATCAAGAATTCATACAGAGGAGAAACCCTATCAGTGCTTGGAATGTAGGAAGAGCTTCAGTCGAAAGGACAGTCTCACTTTGCATCAAATAATTCATACAGGGGAGAAACCCTATCAGTGCTTGGAATGTGGGAAGAGCTTCAGTCAGAGCACCCATCTCACTTCCCATCAAAGAATTCATACTGAAGAGAAACCCTATCAGTGCTTTGAATGTGGAAAGAGCTTCAGTCACAGTTACAGTCTCACTTCCCATCAAAGAATTCATACAGAGGAGAAACCCTATCAGTGCTTGGAATGTAGGAAGAGCTTTAGTCGGAAGGGCAAACTCACTTTGCATCAAAGAATTCATACAGGGGAAAAACCTTATAAGTGCTTGGAATGTGGGAAGAGCTTCAGTCGGAGCACCCATCTCACTTCCCATCAAAGAATCATACAGAGGAGAAACCCTATCAGTGCTCAGAATGTCGGAAGAGCTTCAGTCGGAAGGACAGTCTCACTTCGCATCAAAGAATTCATACAGGGGAAAAACCTTATAAGTGCTTGGAATGTGGGAAGAGCTTCAGTCGGAGCACATCTCACTTCCCACCAAAGAATTCATACAGGGGAGAACCCTTTCAGTGCTTTGAATGTGGAGAGAGCTTCAGTAAGAGCACCCAGCTCACTTCCCATCACAGAATTCATACAGGGGAGAACCCTATCAGTGCTCGGAATGTGAGAAGAACTTCAGTCGGAAGGACAAACTCACTTTGCATCAAAGAATTCATACAGGGAAGAAACCCTATCAGTGCTTTGAATGTGGAAAGAACTTCAGAAGGAGGGCAGGTCTTATCCACCATCAAAGAACTCATACAGTGGCACCTCACGTACGAACTTAATTCATTCTGGAGGTCCATTCTTAACTTGAACTGTTCTTAACCTGAAGCACCACTTTAGCTAATGGGGCCTCCCGCTGCTGCCATGTTGCTGCCTCACGATTTCTTTTCTCACCCTGAAGCAAAGTTCTTAACCCGAGGTATTATTTCTGGGTTAGTGGAGTCTGTAACCTGAAGCGTCTGTAACCTGAGGTACCACTGTACAGGGCATGAAGTGTCTAGAAATGTGGAACAGCTTTCTTCCAAGAGGCGTCTAGCTTCCCATGAAGAAATTCATGTGATTGAGCAGGTGGTTGCTGAAGAACTCCAGCATGCCTTGGAGATTGGGGCTTGCTCACCCTGGTGGGGGGAGCAGACAGGCGGGTGGAGAATTTGAGCTAGGAATACATTCACAGCTCCCTGGCCACCACGATGTATTGGCAGCTCAAAAGGTCTAATACCAGTGTCGTGGCCTGAATGCCCTACCAATGTCAAAAAACTTACTGCTCCATCGCACAGCTGTAGAAGCAACGAACTCTGCATGAGGAAGTCAAGGAGGAGAATCGTGGGATCCTGGACGCTCTTGGTAAAGCTCCCCGTTGGATCAAGATCATTTGAAAATTACATACATAATTCCTCCCCCCCCCAGGAGATCCTACAATATAGCTCCCTTTCTGTTCTTGAGACATAGAATATTCTGCCAGCTTTAACTTTTCAATGATAGTTACAATTCTGTCACATGACTCTGGCAATCTATCTTTTCTTCATTTTTTAGACCAAAAAAGTTTCTTATTAAATTGCGATGACATCTTCTAAATTTATAAACTTTCCCTACATTGTAAGAATTTCTCTGGCAGTAAGACATCTGCCTCAATACATTATATCATTTCAATTCTGTAAACACTGTTCTCATCTCCTATTCCACTGTGTAAAAACTTCCTATGTACATCCTAAAAATTTCTACTTTTCAGTCTGCCTTTAAAAATTGTTTCTGAGAGGATAATTAAGAGTACACTGGCAAAGAGGTCAAAATGTTAATGTCAGTTTCTGAGGTAAAACATGTCACTTTACAACTCTGCACCTGTCTTTCTGGATTATTCATTGGTTTTCTGGATTTTGTGGGCCCCAAAACCCATTTTCTGTGGTATTTATATGCTGCTACATTAGGTATGAAGAGGGAATTACAAGTGCTTCTATCTATATGAGACTTTACATGACTTTTTTCTGAGGCACATAGCAGCATAAAACAGGCAGCAGGTGCTCTCACAGAAAACCTCTCTCTCACTCGACAGTTGAGACCAGACCTAACTGAAAAAACGGCCTTCTGGAGTGACAGTCACCCTTTCCATAGCACCTTGGAGGCAACATTCACACACTGAGTTGTTAGGGAAGTTGAGGTAATTTTGTGTCCGGTTTGGGTTTCTGTTTTAGCCTCTTGCCCGTTTTTAAAGAGAAGACCAATGTTAGAATTGGAGTGGATTTCATGATTGTGGCAACAAAAATCCGTCCTAGAAAAGAGGTCGACAAATGCCTAGTCGACCAAAGGCCACGGCCTCTGTAAGAAAGACCTCACATCTTCTGTTCTTCCTCTTTGACAAATTTCCATTAGCATTGTTCAATAATTGGGGGTTCCGTTTCTTCCTGAGGATCTAATTAGTTTCTGTCTTTGTTGTAGGTGGTGATGAATTGGAAATGAAGAATGGGGGAGACCATGACAAAATCCACACAGTGGAGAAGCCAAATCAAAAATTGGGAGTATGGAGAGAGCTCCAGTCAGAGTTCCCCGTTCCCACCAAAGAACTCAAAGCGGGAAGAAAGACTATCAGTGCTCAGAATGTGGGAAGAGCTTCAGTCGGAAGGGCAGTCTTACTTTGCATCAAAGAATTCATTCTGGAGAGAAACCCTATCAGTGCTTGGAATGTGGAAAGAGGTTTCGTCAGAGTGGAGATCTCACTTCCCACAAAAGAATACATACAGGAGAGAAACCTTACCAGTGCTTGGAATGTGGAAAGAGCTTCAGTCACAGCACCCATCTCACTTCCCACCAAAGAATTCATACAGGAGAGAAACCCTATCAGTGCTTTGAATGTGGAAAGAGCTTCAGTCGGAAGGACAGTCTCACTTCCCACCAAAGGATTCATACAGGGGAGAAACCCTATCAGTGCTTTGAATGTGGAGAGAGCTTCAGTCCACAGTTACAGTCTCACTTCCCATCAAAGAATTCATACAGAGGAGAAACCCTATCAGTGCTTGGAATGTAGGGAAGAGCTTCAGTCGAAAGGACAGTCTCACTTCGCATCAAAGAATTCATACAGGGGAGAAACCCTATCAGTGCTTGGAATGTGGGAAGAGCTTCAGTCAGAGCACCCATCTCACTTCCCATCAAAGAATTCATACTGAAGAGAAACCCTTTCAGTGCTTTGAATGTGGAGAGAGCTTCAGTCACAGTTACAGTCTCACTTCCCATCAAAGAATTCATACAGAGGAGAAACCCTATCAGTGCTTGGAATGTAGGAAGAGCTTCAGTCGGAAGGACAGTCTCACTTCGCATCAAAGAATTCATACAGGGGAGAAACCCTATCAGTGCTTGGAATGTGGGAAGAGCTTCAGTCAGAAGCACCCATCTCACTTCCCATCAAAGAATTCATACTGAAGAGAAACCCTATCAGTGCTTTGAATGTGGAAAGAGCTTCAGTCAGAGAACCCATCTCACTTCCCATCAAAGAATTTCATACAGAGGAGAAACCCCTATCAGTGCTCAGAATGTGGGAAGAGCTTCAGTCGGAAGGACAGTCTCACTTTGCATCAAAGAATTCATACAGGGGAGAAACCCTATCAGTGCTTGGAATGTGGGAAGAGCTTCAGTCAGAGCACCCATCTCACTTCCCATCAAAGAATTCATACTGAAGAGAAACCCTATCAGTGCTTTGAATGTGGAAAGAGCTTCAGTCAGAGAACCCATCTCACTTCCCATCAAAGAATTCATACAGAGGAGAAACCCTATCAGTGCTTCAGAATGTGGGAAGAGCTTCAGTCGGAAGGACAGTCTCACTTCGCATCAAAGAATTCATACAGGGGAGAAACCCTATCAGTGCTTGGAATGTGGGAAAAGCTTCAGTCAGAGCACCCATCTCACTTCCCATCAAAGAATTCATACTGAAGAGAAACCCTATCAGTGCTTTGAATGTGGAAAGAGCTTCAGTAAGAGCGCCCATCTCACTTCCCATCACAGAATTCATACAGGGGAGAAACCCTATCAGTGCTCGGAATGTGAGAAGAACTTCAGTCGGAAGGACAAACTCACTTCCCATCAAAAGAATCCATACAAGGGAGAAACCCTATCACTGCTTGAGTGTGGGAAGAGCTTCAGAAAGAGGGCAGGTCTCATCCGCCATCAAAGAATTCATACAGTGGCACCTCAGGTTAAAAACTTAATTCGTTCTGGAGGTCCATTCTTAAGCCTGAAACTGTTCTTAAGCTGAAGCACCACTTTAGCTAATGGGGCTTCCTGCTGGCTGCCTCACAATTTCTGTTCTCACTCTGAAGCAAAGCTCTTAGCCCGAGGTACTATTTCTGGGTTAGTGGAGTCTGTAACCTGAAGTGTGTGTAACTTGAGGTACCACTGTACAGGGCATGAAGTGTATAAGAAATGTGGAAGAGCTTCTCTTCCAAGAGGCGTCTAGCTTCCCATGCCATGAAGAAATTCATGTGATTGAGCTGGTGGTTGCTGAAGAACTCCAGGCATGCCTGGAGGATGGGGACCATTTGGATCCCATTCCAATTGGGAATCAGGCCTCATATTGGGACTGAAACTGTCTTGGTTGTGCTGGTCCATGATCTCCGGCGCACTAAGGACAAAGGTGAAAGCTGTTTCCTGGTTCTCCTGGAGCTCTCAGTGGCCTTTGATACCATCGACCACGATATCCTTCTGGACCGTCTAGAGGAGCTGGGAGCTGAGGGTTATACAGTGGTTCCACTCCTTCCTCCTGGGCCGTGTTCAGAAAGTGGTGGTGGGGGATTAGTGTACAGACCCCTGGGCTCTCACTTGTGGGGTGCCTCAGGGTTCCATCCTCTCCCCCATGCTTTTTAACATCTAAATGAAGCTGTTGGGAGAGATCATCAGGGGGTTTGGTCTGGGTGTTCATCAGTATGCGGATGATACCCAGCTCTAACTCTTTTAAATTGGAACCAGTGAAGGCAGTGAAGGTCCTGTGTGAGTGTCTGGAGGCGGTTGGAGGATGGACGGCAGGTGACTGATTGAGGTTGAATCATGACAAGACAGAAGTGCTGTTCTTGGGTGACGGGGCGGGCTGGTGTTGAGGACTCACTTAGACCACTGCAACACATTCTATGTGGGGCTACCTTTGAAGGTGACCTGGAAAGTACAACTAATCCAGAATGTGGTTGCTAGACTGGTGACTGGGAGTAGCTGCCGAGACCACATAACACCGGTCCTGAAAGACCTACATTGGCTCCCAGTACGTTTCTGGCCACAATTCAAAGTGTTGGGGTTCACCTTTAAAGCCCTTAACAGCCTTGGCCCAGTATACCAGAAGGAGTGTCTCCACCCCCATCCTTCTGTCTGCACACTGAGGTCCGACTCCCAGGGTCTTATGCTGTCTCCCTCACTGCAGGAAGTGAAGATACAGGGCCTTCTCGGTAGTGGCACCCGCCCTGTGGAATGCCCTCCTACCAGATGTCAAAGAAATAAACAACTGTCTGACTTTGAGAAGACATCTCAAGGGAGCCCTGTTTAGAGAAGCTTTTAATATCTGATGAATTATTGTATTTTAATATTTTGCTGGAAGTCACCCAGAGTGGTTGGAGAAACCCAGCCAGACGGACGGGGTATAAATAAATTATTGTTATTGTTTTAACGACTTTCCCATGCACTATGGGAATCCACATCCATCTGAAGTTCAGGAGCAGTTGGACAATCCCCAGATTCTGGGCATCTACATTTGGGGCCATCTGGTAGAAAAAGGGGAACTGGGTTTTTTCATGAAGAGTCGGAACAGTGTATCCATAACTTGCCCAGGAAGCAAAGGAAGAGGTGAGTGCTTTGCTGTGGTTCCAGGACAAATCTCAGACAGTTGACCAACTACAGTCCCACACACAAAGAACAAGACAAAATGCTGACCGTGTAGAATGGGAGGAGGTCTTCCAGGAATGCCTCCAAACTCTCAATATTTTGTGGGACTGAATCACATCCCAGAATATTAGACTAGGGACTCAGCTACATTACTCAAAAAACTGTGTTTTGAATGCATTGTAAACAAGCAACATGGTTTTTAAAAGCAGTGGTGGGGTGGCATAGGGCATCTGACACCAATGTTGAGTGCTCCTGCTTCCAGGTTCCATCCCACCCCCACCTTTGGGAGAGTCCAAAAAGGAAAGAATGAAAAGCCCATGGCAGAGGCACAACTCCATCTTAACACCAAACCAGCCATACCTGTGGGATTTTGTAGATGCTTGACACAGGTGACATATGTCTAGAAATATCAGGTTCAGCATCTTCAAGAACAGCCAACAGGTTATTCCTCTTCCTGGCTCCCGGTGGAGTACAAGGTCAGATTTCAGATGCTGGTTTTGACCTTTAAAGACCTTCATGGCCTAGGACCCTCGTACCTATAGGACTGCCTCTCCCGGTATGGCCCATGGAGGACCGTAAAGTCCATAAATAGCAACACCCTAAAGGTCCCGGGCCCAAAGGAAGTTACATTAGCCTCAACCAGAGCCAGGGCTTTTTAAACACTGGCTCTGGCCTGTTGAGACCAGGGCCCTGCAGGATCTGATTTCTTTCCACAGGGCCTGTAAGACAGAGTTGTTCTGCCTGGCCTTTGGCTTGGATTCAATTTGATTCCCTCCCTCTTTCTTTTTTCCTTTCTCCTCCTGTGATGAGGCTGCATTTTAACATTTTAATGTTGTATTTTATTTATTTATTTATTTTTAATAGATATTTATTGAAGATTTTCCATTTTAGTAAATTAAAAAGCCAAAAAGAAAAAGAAAAATTAAAAACATATACAGTTTACAATCCTTATTTTTCAGTAACATATTTCCCTGACTTCCCCACACCTCCCCTTCTTATATTCCAATTCAAATTGTTAGTTTAACAAGTTCTTATCCCCAATTTTTTAACCTTTTTATGTTTAATTCATTATAAAAAACCGATTTTACTTTATAAACATCAAAATTTATACATCAGTACTCATTCTTAAATCCTTTTTCTAAAGTCGACCCAAATTCCCTTGCACGAATTCCCCATTTTTCATACAAATAACAAAACAGAATAAAAATAAAAAGACGAATTATAATTATACACCCTTTGGATCCCCAAACCCCACCCCATCCCCTTTCCCGGTTTCAATCCCCAACAAGTGTCCATCAGTCTTAATCTACTATCAGCCTGGGGATCTCACGTCCGAGGCTCTTAATTGTCTCTCAGTTCCTCTCTGCCGGTTTTTTTGATAGTCCTTAATGTTAAACACCAGATCTCAGAGATGCTCTAGCCTGATGAGGACAATGTTTCTTCCAGCCAGACCTCCATGTTTAAAAGTGGAGCCCAAATCTTGTTTCTTACTCCTTTCAAATCCAAATGTCCCCAAAGCTCCCACTTTCACCTTAATCAAATTTGTAATCCTTGGGTCTTCAGATCTCCACATATACAGATCTCTCCATTCTTCAATCACCAATTCAGACCAGATTTTCATCATCCAGTTCTTATTTTCCTTTATAACCATCATGTCAGGCCTCTGGCTCTCCTTTGCCATCTGCAACATTATATCTCCTCCTTCCTTTTCCTCAAAAACAACATGTGTCTCTTTCTCCACACTCTAAAAGTTCTCAAATTTCTCCTCTTGTCCAGCTGCTTGGGCTTCCTGGATCAAATCCTTATCAAATTCAATGAACTTATTTACTGTTAAGTCCAGTCAAGCTTGCTAAGATATATCACCTGTCTGATAATAAATGTTGGAAATGTAAGGAGGCAGAAGGGACCTTTTTTACCTCTGGTGGACATGCCCGAAAGTGAAGGCCTTCTGGGAAGTAATTTACAATGAGCTAAAAAGGGTATTTAGGTATACCTTTCCCAAGAAACCAGAGGCCTTCCTCCTGGGCATTGTCGACCAGAAAGTGTCAAAGAAGGATAGAACTTTGTTTATGTATGCAACTACAGCAGCAAGAATTCTTATCGGAAAGTATTGGAAGACACAAGATTTACCCACACTGGAGGAGTGGCAGACGCAACTGATTGACTACATGGAACTGGCTGAAATGACTGGCAGAATCTGAGATTTGGGTGAAGAAACAATGGAGGAGGACTGGAAAAAATTTAAGGACTATTTGCAAAAACATTATAAGCTGTATGTATGTTAAGAAATACGCATGATTAGGAATTTTTTGCTTCAGCAACTGGATTAGGTAATCTGAAAATTAAGACAAGAAAAAAGAGGTGGTAATGAGAAACAACTTTATTATGTAAATTTTAAAGGTATAAAGTTGGGATATAGATATGTGAAGTTAGAAACATAATAATTGAAAGATACAGTAAGTAATGAAATAAGATAACAAATTGCTGAAACTTTTATGTAAAAGAACGCAGAGTCTGGAAGATGTGGGGAAGTCCATTTGGAATATTGGAAAAACTGTCGAAAGTTGGATTGTAATAATATTCTTCTTTGTTTTTGTTTCTTGTATTTTCTTATCTTTATCTTGTGTTTATAACCTTAAGAAAAGAAACTCAATAAAAATATTTATAAAAAAAAATATAACCATCATGTCAGGCCTCTGGCTCTCCTTTGCCATCTGCAACATTATATCTCCTCCTTCCTTTTCCTCAAAAACAACATGTGTCTCTTTCTCCACACTCTCAAAGTTCTCAAAGTTCTCCTCTTGTCCAGCTGCTTGGGCTTCCTGGATCAAATCCTTATCAAATTCAATGAACTTATTTACTGTTAAGTCCAGAGTTGCAACGTTGGTAGCCAAAACATCAATTTGGCCTTGTAACTTTCCCAAGAGAAAGAAAACTCTATCCAATTTAGCTTGAGTTTTGCCTCCTTCAGCCATTCCTGTAATGTCCCAAAACCCCCTCTAGAGGGATTTTGGTTACTTAGTATTCATTCCAGTTCAAATCCAACAATCAAGTTAATTTGTGTCAGTTCTTCCTTGTTTTCAACAAAGTATAGCCCAATTGTAACAAATATAACCAGCAGAGACAATAGAAAACAAAGTTCGCTTTTTCCGTCTTGACAGCTAATTTGACAAACTCTGTCAAACTCTTCAAT